CTCTACTGCTTATTCTGTGCTAGAGGTAGAAACTGAGGTCAGGGATCCCTTCAGGCATCAAGCTGTAGGAACAGATCTTGAGTTTACACTCTCATGGAACTGCACACTCTTCCATCATTTCACTTCTTTGCAGCCAACATGGACAGTTGTTTAGTCTTTGAAATTAGCTTCAGCAGATGACTTTCTTTTCTGCATGAATGACCTTGGCTGGCATAAGGCTTACCTCTGGCTTCCCAGGGACTTATATATGCACTGGTATTGATGCACAAGACAGGGACAAGGTGTGGGACAGCACTTCGATAAGTTAATCAGCTGCAAAGATGCACTTGTGAACAGCATCTGCTCAAAATAATTATAATTGGCTAACATACTAAATGAAGTGGCAGAGAAAGGAATAATACGATAATTGGGGTGCTTGAATAAATAATTAACTCCCAGTTGTACATGACAGATTTTTTGTCTTCGTGATGTTTGTCATGTCCAATAATTCTGAACTTTGAGCGTTAGAACTCGTAATTAAAAACTAAAAAAGTCAAAACCTCCTGCTTCTCTTCATCTCTGCTAGCCTGGAATAGTCTTTGATATGTGAAATGAATTAGATGCAGTAGGTTTTAACCTTAAGTTTAATTTCAGAACCAGGTCAGTAAAAACGTTTTGACTGATGTTAGAAAAGTTGGTGAGAAAACACTACTGATGAAATTATTTAGTCTCTCTTGTGCTTGGAGTATTGCAGTGTCAATACACAGCTCACAGCATGAAGTAAAGAACTAGGATACTGCTTCAAGCCTGAGCCTTGAGAATATCTCCAAACTAACCTTTGGTCTTCTTTTTAGTCCCTTTCAGATGCTCTGATCTCACTCCAGATGGTCTATCCTCGAAGAAATCTCTCAGCTGATCAGTGGAGAAATGCACAACTACTGAGCCTCATCAGTGCCCCCAGCACAATGCTTAATCCTGCACAGTCTGACACAGTATGACCTTTTCATTTGCATTGGATGGTAGAATTAAACAAGTTGTTCTGCAGTATAATGTAGGAAGATTTTATTTTCTATTTAATTACCCTTACATGGTTAGCTCATGCCTTAATTTTTGGTATTAGATAATCAAAAGATAAAAGGCAGCAATGTTAACTACTGCAGTGTAGAAGGAAGGAATCCTGTCTACTGTCTGGGGTATTTGTGGGCCAACAGGCTGAAAATCAGAAGTGACATAAAATCTTTACTATAAAATCTTAAACATGTTAAAAATCTTTAACATAAAATCTTTACTATTTGCATTCTCTCCCTCAGTTATAATATGGATGGTCACCTTTATGAAAACTTAAGTTAGTTTGTGATTAGTGTACCTTAAAAGCCTTTAGTTCTTGAGTGTTTTTATATGCAATGTCTTTTGAAGCTAAGTATGTGTCCAAGTTTGTTCACTGTTTTTTTCAAGGTGTTATTGGACAATATGGAAGTTCATTTAAAGCTCACACTCTCCATTTCTACAGGGATAAAACAAGGCCCTGTTAGTAATCAGAGTTCAAGGCTTTCATTGTCCCATTTTTTTCTAAATAAATGTTTCTTATGAAATACAGTCTTTAATGTAATTGGTCTGCTACAAATGACTGTTTTTTTTCAACAGATGCCATGTGAATACCTCTCTCTGGATGCAATGGAAAAATGGATCATTTGTGAGTAAAAAAATTCTGAAGTAGCTCATGGTTGTATAAAAAAAAACCAACCACATTGGAAGGACTATTGGCTTTTCAGTAGAAAAGATGGTACATTCAAAATAGATTCTAGAGAACTTGAAGAAATGTTATTTGTGCGTATCATATTCCTATACGCTGTGAAGTCTGATTTCAGCATATAATGGACTGGAGTTTATCATCAGTTTATTCCAGACTTTATTTAAAAGTAAGTTTTAGTCATTCTGATGATGATAGCTCAATAGGCTCAGCATTAAGTAATTGATGTTACAAAAATACCTTCCCTAAAACAGTGTGGGGTATTTTGTATGTAAAAACCCCCATATTATCCATTAAACAGTTTATCAATGAAGTATTTGAACTATTTAAGAGAAAATGCATAGTAATCTCACTGTTCTCTTACTCTGTGCATCTGGTTTGTGACATACATCAATGTGAACTTTTGAAGTTGGATTTATTTTGTGCCATGGAATCCTAAATAGTGATGCTACAGCTTTGAACCTTTGGAAACTTGCACTTCAAAGCAGCTCTTGCTTGGCCCTCTTCCGAGATGAAGTGTTCCACATTCACAAAGCTGCAGAGGACTTGTTTGTAAATATACGAGGGTAAGTTTTTGTCCTCTTGATCTCCTTTCAGAATCGCCTTTGAAACTATCGATTAATGAAGAGCTGTTTTGAAAATGTTAGCTCATCTAAGTTCTGCTTGAAGACAGTGGCTACTCAAACATGTTTACTTAGCATCTGGATTGTTTCAATCCTGCATAATTTTTCAGGAGCCTTATTTAATAACCTTCTTCTAATTACAGTACTGAGAAAGCCTGATGAATAAGACTTAAAAAGGAAAAGTTGAAGTTGCCCACAAGTCTTAATGTAGGGAAGAGAAATTACATCATGAATGCTGAGTTTGCTTGAAAATTTACAAGTTTTTGCCACTGTTTCTGCAATACATTGTATGAAACTCAAGCAATAACAAAGTTGAGGTCTCTACCAGTTAATACCAGGACCACTTGAGCAGAGAGGGTTGTAGGTTTTGGTGTCCAGTTCTAGAAGTTAGCTCTGAGCAGGAAAATGAGTCTTGTGTAACTTTTTTGCTGTATCCTACTTGCTGTGGCATCACAGCTTTTTCAAAGTTGTGCTACTGATACTTATTACTGTGTTGGCTTTTTTACTTGCAGTTACAACAAGCGTATTAATGACATCAGAGAGTGCAAAGAAGCTGCTGTTTCACATGCGTGAGTACACGACAGTGTTTTTCTACATACATTTTAGTGTTTTTCTTAGTCAACTTGGAACATGAACAGAATTTGTTCAATGTTGGACGAATTATGCATTTTCAAATGAGATAATGTACTGATAGTTCTTTTAAGTCTGGATTTGCCCAATGGTATGCCATTATTGATTTGACTTCCCATGATTTAGATGGTTTTTCAGATTTTCAGGGCAGATTAATATAGTTTTATATATGCTCCAGTTTTTGTCTATGGGAATGGAAACCAAACAGATGTTTTAGTGCAGTCAAATGCAAGTCACAGACCAGGGCAGAGAACTTTTTTCTTACAAGTTTAGTCATACTTCGGGAATATATAGCATTGGTGATGGGGATGCCAATTTTAATTGAACCATGTCCTTGGAAATACTGAACTTCAGAAGCTGGTATGGTGTGAACTGCCTGTGGCTGGGCTTAAATGTTTGGAAAAATCCAGTGTGGTGTGTTGAGCACAGTGGGTGATGTTTTGGTGTGTTCTTTGGTGCAGCGGTTCAATGCACAGAGAGAGACGCAAGTTTCTGCGTTCGGCGCTCAAGGAACTGGCGACTGTCCTCTCTGACCAGCCAGGCCTGCTGGGTCCCAAGGTAATGACTGTCCTTCTGGTTTGCATTTAGCCAATTTTGCTTTTTTTTGGGAAATAACAACCCCACACTTTGAGAGCAAACCTACTTGGGTTTGAAGATTTCAGGGAGTTGTTGCCTCTTAATGTGCACGAGGTGTCCAAATGTTGCACAGTTCTATAACCTTCAAACAACTTCTCTTTTTCAGGCACTTTTTGTATTTATGGCTTTGTCCTTTGCTCGTGATGAAATTATTTGGCTGCTTCGTCATGCAGATAATATGCCAAAGAAGAGTGCAGATGATTTCATAGATAAGTATGTAACAATTTCTAGTGTGATACAAAGAGGGTGATATGGAAGGGCTAGGACTGTTCAGCAAATCTTTACCAGGGTCATCCAGAAACTGAAGGGCATGGGTGAAAATTGGTGTTCTCTAGAAAACTTATTGATAAAATAGAAGTATTTTTTATAAGTTTGTACTTTTTTTCCTTTGAAAAAGCAAAACAAAAGAGAACCTTATGTGACTTTAGTGATCTGCATTGAACAAATCAGTGAGGTGGGGAAGAAAACAATCGCAAAGCTTGGTATGTAGGATGTCTCCTGTATTGTAGCAACACTGTCTTTTAAACCAGATAAGATTTAATTCTATAATACAGCATTACTGTTCTCATGAACAGAAGATAAAAATGAGAAATGAGTTTTAAGAGCTTTATGATATGGATAGGCAAAATGGCACTAATTATCTTTGAGGTGTTTTCAAGATTATGGAACACAGGATGGATGGGAAGTCTCTGTACTGACCCCAGGCATTTAAACAAGTGACAGGGACAAGGTTTATTCTACAGCTGGAATAGGAAAAACTCTTTAGGGTTCTTTACTGGACTAGGTGTTAGGGATGGAGGTCCCACAGCCTCTCAGAAATAGGCTGTGCAAGGATGGTTTTAAAAAAAAAAAGCTAACCAAAACCAACCAATTATCTTAATGAGAATTATTTTTTTCATATTGAGCATGATAGGAAGGTTTCTTCAAAAAATATGTGAGTAGTTATACACACCTTGGAGATAACCTTGAGGGCACCCTGGTATCCACTGTTGGATGGATTTTATCTTGCAGAAAAAATGACCTCTGTAAACTCTTGTGCAAATGTGAACAAATCTTTTCTTATAGAAATAGCCAATTCGTAGTAGTTTGAAAAGCAAGGTAGAGGAGGAAATAATCTTGAGAAGCATTTCACTGGGAGAAATAGGTTTTTATGTGTTTGGATGTTTTCTTGTTTGTAAGCTCTTCCTCATCTTGCCTAGACACATAGCTGAGCTGATATTCTACATGGAGGAGCTCAGAGCTCACGTGCGGAAATACGGGCCTGTGATGCAAAGATACTATGTGCAGTATCTCTCTGGCTTTGATGCAGTGGTCTTGAATGAGCTTGTTCAGGTATGTCAGGGCTGTGGTTTTGGGTTCTTAAATGAAAACTTTGGAAAGGGTTTTGTCTCCAAAATGTCCTTAGCAAATGCATCCTAGTTTGTCGATTTTCATGGCCTTTATGGTATAAATCACGTTCGGTTACTCTTTAGTTTTGGGATATAGGGTTGTGCTGTTGCTTGTTAAATGAATACTTGAAATATTAATCAGTGATAAGTTTAGAGACAGTGAAACTAGTACTGCCATGGAAGGAGCGTTGTAGCAACTTACTTGAAATTGAAATAATCTTGAAATGACAGGCTCGCTGAACTGTCGGTTTTCACCCTGATGCCCACTAGATGGAGCCCGAATTTCGTGACTAGGTCAGGTACTGAGACTCGAGAAGCTTGTGCTAGAAGCTGCCTGGTTGTGTTCAAAAGTTTGCCAGTTGCCATAAGTTCCCCACTTAAATACTCTGTTCATTTAAAGGGCCTATTTAAGCAGGTTAAATACCAGTTTGTGTCACTGTTTAAATTATTACATGTGATGGAATCCCTGGGTTTACTTTGAACATTTGGGGCTTTTTCACTGGTAACTTACTTGTTAACAGCTCTTTTTTTTCTTTAGTCACAGAATAGAGTATTTTTTTGGTTTGTCATCAATTACAGGGAAATTATTTCTGAGATTTAACTTAGAAATGCTTTACCATGGCACAAGTTTTCTGTATTTATGTAGGATAATCCTTAGGATCAACCTGAAATGGGAAATAAAAAGCTTGAGTTTCAGTTTTAATTCATCCGTAACAGGTATCAAGCACCAGACTAGACAAATGATGGATAATTTGGGATTTTTTTTCAGTCTTGAGCTTAATATGTCAGTTATAGCTGGAATTAAGAGCAACTTCTGTATTCAACCGAAATACGATCTTACCAGGTGCTGAAACTGCCTTTTCGTGAGCTGTTGCATGTTGTCAAGTTTGGAAACTTGATAGGCCATCTTTCAGGTGGTATCAATCAATGAAGTCAATATTAGTAAAAAACTATAGAGAGAGTGGGAAGCCAAGTGATGCTGTTATGGGCTCCGTTGTGTCCTGCCATGGCCAGATTTTCTTGGTAGATGGATCAGGTACCTGTACTGTTCAGAACAACATTCAGCATCCATTTTGTAAATGGCTACAGCCTAAAATTTGTGGGCATATAGACTGACAGATTGTTTAGTTTTAAGCAGATGTTGGTTTGGAAGCAGGCTTTTCTGGGTATCTGTCATCAAACAATGAATTAAAAATGGAAAGCTGCTAAATAGCACTATTGTGAATAGTCCATCAATTAAGTTGCTGTGTGTAAATTATTTTACAGTTGATAAATTGGGCATGGCTATTGACATGGTTTCATGAACCAAGCTTGAAATAACAATGACAACATTTATTTCAGAATCTTTCCGTGTGCCCAGAGGATGAGTCAATTATCATGTCCTCTTTTGTGAACACAATGACTTCACTAAGTGTGAAACAAGGTAAGTTTAAATGAACTTGGGAAAAAAGTAACAGAATGGTGAATTTCTCTGGACAGCTTCTTCACTTTCTTTCAAGCCATCAGTAGAAGCAGATAACTTGTATCAACTGAACTTGTTCACTTGTTTCTCTTTCATTATGGTATCCGCTTCTCCTTGTATGTCCCCTTTCCCGGGCAGCACTATGCAGAGAGAGCTGTTCAAGAATGCTATTGGGAAGTAATCCAACCTTTTAAATAAGAATGCATATTATGCATGTTTTCATCTAGATATTTCAATGAGTGTGGCTGTAATGGATTGAAATTCTTAGGTTAAAGCATGAGGTGCAGTGTCCACAGAATTCTTGAGTACTTAGGGTTTTTTTTTAATAAGACCTGACATAGGATATTAGAATTTGTAGCTGTGTTCTTAAAAGCTTTGTTGTGTGTTTTTTCCTTATGCAGTTGAAGATGGAGAGGTATTTGACTTCAGGGGAATGAGATTAGATTGGTTTAGATTGCAGGTAAGAAATTGTAAATATGCATGACACTTTATTAACTTAAAATTCATGTTTAATGAATGAATGCTCTTCTGGATAACTCTCACACTGTAAGTGGATGACAGGCTATCTAAGGATAACCTGTTTTTAAAATAAAACAAATACCTAGGCACATAATTTGTCTGCATGGAATTGTGTTTGCAAGTCATTCTTTGGGGTGATGACAATAGTTGGAAAATACAACGTGTTGAGGATGAGCAGGTAGTTGGCAACTGTGCAGTGTATCGAGTGTGATTCAGCCTGCCCAGCCAAAGGAAGAGAGAGACTGTTCAGAGGGAAATCTGTGTTCCATGAGCTCCATTCCATGCATTGCAATTAACAGTATCTTCCACTGACTTAAGAAAAGGGGAGGACCTTTTAGTCTGTAAATCAATTCTCTCAAGGTGAGATAGATGTGTTATTTTTATATTTTCAAAATATGCCTTTTTTTTTTCCCCAAGATTGGACTGTTAAAGGAGGGGCTTTCAAGTGGATGTCAATACATTTGTTTTACAGTTCATCTGTGAAATGGTGTCATGATCAAATGACTTCTGGAGACTTGATTGAAAGGCAGTTAGCTTTTCCTAAGTTACAGTGGAAAGATAAAATATTCTCTTCACAGCCTTTAAGTATACAGGTGTCCTATGCTTACCATAACCAGTATTTAATCTCTGTTAAATACTCTTGGACAATGACAATGGATTTTGTTAAAAAAGCAGCTGTAGATTTAACACAAGTTTTCTTGTCTTTCCAGGCCTACACCAGTGTTTCTAAAGCTTCACTTGGTCTTGCAGACCACAGAGAACTAGGAAAAATGATGAACACAATCATTTTCCACACAAAAATGGTAGATTCTTTGGTAGAGATGTTGGTGGAAACCTCGGATCTTTCTATATTTTGGTATGTTACAAATTTGATTGTAGACGCTTTTTATTATTTTTTCTTTGGTTTGTCCTGGCACGTGTAAATTTTAAATAGCACACTTTATAGGATTTGCCAGTAGTAGATTCCATTAGAATTTCTGGTTTCCATCAGAATTAGTTTGATAAAGGTATTTCTGAAAATCTGTCAGAGAGGTCCTCCAAGTAGTCACATAACTGATCTAGCATGCAGATGCTTCCTTAATATGTGTCACAGAACCACAGAATTTTAGGGGTTGCAAGGTATGTTGAAAGATCATCCAGTCCAACCTCTCTGCCAGAGCAGGATCCCCTGCAGTAGATGACACAGGAACATGTCCAGGGAGGTTTTGAGTATGTCCAGTGAAGGAGACTCCATAACTTCTCTGAGCAGCCTGTTCTAGTGCTCTATGTCACTCTCACAGCAAAAAAGGTCTTCCTCATGTTTACATGGAACCTCTTACTCTCCAGCTTGTACCCGTTGCCCCTTGTCCTGTCACTAGACATCTCTGCCAAGAGCCTGGCTCCATCCTCCTGACACTTGGCCTTTACATATCTATCCACATTAATGGGGTGGGGTCTCCTTCAAGCTCAAGAGACCCAGCTCCCTTAGCTTTTCTTCATAAGGGAGATGTTCCTTCCTCATCTTTGTGACTCTGCACTGGACTTTTTCAAGCAGTTTCCTGTCTTTCTTGAACTGACAGACCCAGAACTAGACTATTGCAGATGTGCCCTCACCAGGGCAGAGTAGAGGGGAAGGATTGCATTTGTGGAAAATTGCAAGTTTTAGCAGTGACTTTGTGGCAAAGATCAGAAGAAAAATATGGTGGTAATACTATTAATAGAGATGCAAGTAAAATGCCTAAGAAGTGAATTTGAAAACAAGCTTAATTGAAAGCATGATGCAGTTTTAGTTACTAAGTTGTAACTAGAAATCTGACATGAATAGCATGTTTGATTTGGATGAAATAGACTTGATTTGCAGCAGAATTAAATATGTATTGCATCTGAGTGCCTTTTTCTGATCAGTTTTTATAGTCGTGCTTTTGAGAAGATGTTTCAGCAGTGTTTGGAGCTTCCCTCTCAGTCGAGATACTCAATTGCATTCCCGCTGCTTTGTACTCACTTTATGAGCTGCACCCATGAGCTATGCCCAGAAGAGGTAAGTTGATAGTTACTTTCATCTCCTGTTTAAAATAGAAAAGATCTTTGTTATGGCAATACAAGGCTTGAGGGAGGAGAGAGATACAAAAAGGGAAGTCAAACACAAACATACGTTATGTGATTCTTCACCAATAGATCTCAAAATGCTTTTCTGAACTATTATCTTTGCTTTAGAGAGAGATTAAGGTAAGGTAAGAAGTGTAGATGACTTTCCTGGGGTCATGCAGGCTGAGGTGCTAATAAATCCTTTGTACCTATTAAAATTCACTAGCAGAAGTCTTTCCCATGCTTCATAATCTTGCAGTTAGAAAAAGGAAATGGGAAGTAGGGAGTTCTAGGGCTTGTTATGTTAAGTGTTTCTTTAGAAGGTTTAAAAAATCAAATCTTAAATGACAGACAGCATGATGCATTTGCTTTGGCCAGACCTGAGTAATGCAGACCCTTTTTGATTAGAATTAAGAATTAAAAAATGGAGAATGATGCTTACAGAAATGGACCCTCTTGCTTCTAACCCATCTTGCTTCTAAGGACATGGGGTTTTTGTTTTAATGAAACATCCTTTAGTACATTTCCTGTATATCCATTGACTCTGAAATTACTCCAAGGGTTCACTCATTTTGTGCAGTGCTCATGAAAGTGTCTTTTCATTCTTAGCAGTGCTCATCTGGAACAATTAGCTGAATAAGATATTTTGAAATATGCATGATGTGGATTTCTCTTTACATGACAAACATTACATGTTCTTCTGCTAAGCTTCAGCTCAATTTATGTCTCTAAAATATTTTTCCCTGTATACTTTGCTTTAAACAGCTGCAAACTCTTATTTATATAGATAACCACTAAAAAACTTAGCAGGGAAGCTTTCCTTCAGGACAAGAGATGTCTTTCAGAACAATTAAAGTAACAGTAAGGAATTAGTAGCCAAAGTCCACTGGACACTAGTTACTGTGAATTCAGCTGCAGCAAGCATGTTTTGCCACAGCCTGTAGAAGTTGGAATTCAGTATCTGAGTTGTATGAATTGGTAGCTGTTATCATTTTGGAAAAACCAAATTTGTTGCACTGTGTATCATGTGTGGTAGTGTGGCTTTTGGAAAGTAGAATTCAGTGGGGAAAGAAGGGTTTCATTGAGATGGAAGGCTGTGCTTTTGCAAATCCAGTGACAAAGGAACTGAATCCAGAAATTAGTGCAGCAGAGCTTCACTATTGACTTTTTCAGTGATGTGAAGAAACTGTGCTTTACAGCTTGAGTTGCATGATTTTTTTCCTCTTAGATCTGATACTGGCACAAACTAATGAATTGGAGATTCACAGAAACCTTGAGTATTGGACACTTTAAAGTAGATTCATGCAAAAATCCAAAGTAAAAACCTATTTGTAAAATAATTTTGCTTCTACAGAAAATGTTTTGCAAAATTTAGAAAGCAAAATATTTTAAATTCTAATAATACACCATTTTGATTTTGACCATTTCCTGGTTCAGGTTGCTTGCAAAACAAATCATCCCGGAGCTGAGACTACTAAGGGCTAAAGAATTCATGGTTTCTCATATCCCTTGTACGTGATTTAGTGTACTGCAGTACAGCAGTTGTGTTTTGTGAATCCTGTAGGACTAACAGGAAACTGTTTTCCTCTTTGACAGAGACATCATATTGGAGATCGTAGCCTGTCCTTGTGTAACATGTTCCTGGATGAAATGGCCAAGCAGGCGCGCAATCTTATCACAGACATTTGCACGGAGCAGTGTACGCTGAGTGATCAGGTCAGTGTGGCTGTCTCTAGTTTCGTTCTCCTTGGAGAGTTACTAGGTTATTCAACTTGCTCAATTGTTATGGTCTATTTCCTGATCACGTTTTTTTTCCCCTCTTTTGGGCATGTTGTCTGTTTATAAAGTGGAAGGTGGTTTGAGGAAACCTTTACATGAGAGTTGTGTAGTTGGTTGTCAAAAGAAGGTGTTACTTGTGTGATGCAGTCTTCACCTGGACCATAAGGTTAATTTGTATCTCATGGCTACTAAGAAGTTGGGTTTTAATTTGGAAGACTATTTTTTTCTTCTCCTAGTTGCTGCCAAAGCATTGTGCCAAAACCATCAGTCAAGCAGTGAACAAAAAGTCAAAAAAACAGACTGGAAAGAAAGGAGAACCTGAAAGGGAGAAACCGGGAGTAGAAAGCATGAGGAAAAACAGATTGGTTGTGACCAAGTAAGCTGCTTCTGTTCCTTTCACCTAGGATCCCAAGTCAAAATGTGTTTTACAGACTGAATGCTTGCTTAATTTATCTGAGTAGCCTTAATTGACTGTAAATATGACACCTGTTTGTGAGCATATGATGCTTCTGTAGCTTTGTGTAGAGACTGAAGTCTCTTATGTAGAGAGGTAGGAATTAATTTCCTCAGCTTGTTTCCTTTCCTTAGCAGAAGGGATCCCTGTGCTGTAGTTAGGCTTCATGTATATCTTAAATGTTGTGGGAGCCCAAGGAGTCCATGACATATTTGATTTTGCCTGCCTTAAGCTCTTAACTAGGAAAAGTAAAGGCTGGGCTGGAATTTTTTGTTGCCAAGAGGCTGTTTGCTGCCATCAGCTGCTAGGATGAAGTTGGAGCTCCTGTTGAAAAATCAAAAGTACCAGCCAATAAAAAACAAAAGCACATGAAAGAGATGGCAAGAGAGATGAATAAATTAAGTTTTGGGTGTAAGAGATTATAGGGGAGCAAAAGGTAGAAGATAATTCTAAGGAAAGATCAGAGGACGAGATGGCAAGATAATAAGAGGAGGAAGGGAAGCTTAGAAAAAGGTAACACTAAATGCTTAGTGTTGTGGCTGGAAGTGGTGAAACACCCACTACTGAAAAGGAAGTGGTTTTGCTACGGTTGCAACAACCAAACATCAGAGAAGTGTAAAGATTTTTTCAGATCTTCAGAGTAAGAACTTACTTGTAGGTGAAGATTTCCTCTCCAGATGTTTTTCAGTTTTTAATACTGGCTAGTAGCAAACAACTTGTGTTGCTCAGCTTAGTTAGGAAAGAGCTTTGACACACTATTCTTTTCGAGAGGAAGAAAAAATTACATGTAGATATAAAAAGATTTATATTTCTTGCATCACTGTGGGTGATCCAGATCAGTATGCAGTTGAAGAAAGTGTTCTTAGCCAAAATACTGTTTTTATATGAGCTGGAAGAGAGTCTCAACGCAGAACATAATATTGAAAGGAAGAGCTAGAGCTCTATGTGCTCTTTAGGTGTCATCCATTGTGTATGTGCTTTCCATGATAAGTACTTGCATTCCATTTAATATTTTCCTTGATTTCTTGTTGACTGTTCTTAAAGCCTGGACAAACTGCACACTGCGCTTTCTGAGCTCTGCTTCTCCATCAATTACGTACCAAACATGGTGGTTTGGGAACACACGTTTACGCCGAGAGAATATTTAACATCTCACCTGGAAATCCGTTTTACCAAGTAAGAAATATTGTGAGGATAGATGTATTCATATGCAAGATAAGTCTTTGTTGATGTGACATAGGAATTATTTTATACTTATTATGGAAAAGTAGTTTTTAAAAAGAGGGATTGTGAAACTCAAGTCATATTCTGACTGATAAGACAGTTAAGTTATGCATACACAATTGTTAGTTCCTACTTCAAAATCAAATAGATTAGAAATAAACATGACTTGCATGATAGCCTGTTTCTGCTTTCCTAGTGCTGTGTATTTTGTAGGAGCTGGTGAAGCCTGTATTTAGGCATTTATAGAGACAGTCTTCCTACCCTTGTTTTGCACAGCACCAGATTGTTACAAGTGTTTGAGGTTACTGGCTTGCTGAAAGGCAAGTCTGAAAATGAGAACTGAAGACCAGACAAAGCCAACTGGGAAGAATTTTTCATAACTTCTTAAAAAGCGTTGCCAATAGATATTCCTGTCAGTTCTTAACTTTATCTTCCCATCGTTGTTTACAGAAATAGGCAAGTGGCAGCTTCTGAAGAGGACTTCATATTAAAACAGTCAGCTATCCTAGTTGTTTTTCATGCCAAGGATTACTAGTTCTATATTTTAAGCAGGGTATAAAGACTGATGTTATTAGGTCATTAGAGCATTCCTATCTTTCAAGTAAGACAAGGTGGCATAAAAGTGAAGATGACTTCATGACATTATAAGAAGTCAGATGTTATCTTCAGATTTACAAATGTAGACCAGTGTTGGTCACTTACACTTGTTTTTTTAATTTTGGGGAGGTTTGACTTGTGGATTGGGGCTGAAGGCAGAGACAGCCTGCAGAGACTGCTTTCTTTTTTCCTTACCTAGTGAAAGAGCTGAGACTTGTTAGCCAAACAAAATAGATGTGTGATTTCTAATTATTTTTGAGATATTTGTGTGGTATTTCTTCCAAGGACTTGCAGGTTACCTTTAGGTGTTAGTGTTTCAGTGTTAGGACTTGTGTATTGGACTGGTTCAACCTGCTCCATTACATGTATGTTAGAGCAGCACTTATTATTATGAAACTTAATCTTGTAGTAATACCACTTTTGAATTGATTTTAAAACAAAAGAGAGACTGCCTTAGTAGTAAACGTGAGAAGACTTACATATTCCCAAGCAACAACAAAAATGTAACTTAAATAAGCTGATAGTTTGCTCCAGAATTAAGGCCTGCTCGCCATCTCTCTAGAAAGCACCTGGAGTTTATTCAAACTCCAGCTGCTCAAAGGCATAGGTCTGGAAGTCTGAGTCCATTATCAGCCTGCAATGAAAACTGCAACAAGTATTTATTTACTGAGCTGACATTGTTTGCTTTAAGGACCCCTGATAGAATTTGCCTGGTTTCAGTGAGATACGAAGTAAAGTCCATATCTTTTTTGGTTAAAAGGGGAAATAAAGCCATTTGTGCAGTTGTGGTCTAGCTTGAGAGCTAGTGCCATGTATAGGATACCTGTTATTGGAAGTGTGCTATTTATAGGATACCTTGGGCAAAGGATGTTCTGCAGTTTCTTGATGATTAGCAATAGATATCAAGGTATAAAAAAAGGGAGATTTGTTTTTCGTTCATTTCTTAACACTTTGTATGCAAATATAGTTGAAGCTTATCTACCAAATGATGTGAAAATATTTCTTTTTACCAGCTTACAAGAGAGGCATTTGCTGTTGAAAGCAGAGCTTATGATAACCTTTGTGAAAAGTTATTTAAAACAGCTGAAATGTACTTTTTTAAAAGCATGCTTTACAAAAGCTATCTGTATTGCAAAATAGATGAGATCTTTCTAGGTAACTTAGAGGGGGTTTTTTTAATATTGTTATCTGAGGCTGAAGAAAGAGCTAAAATGCTATGTGTCTAGCAAAAAATTACACACTCCAATACAGCAGGCAGTTAATGTCACAAAATAACCAGTTGCAAAGCAACTTAAGATAAGTTTTGAATATTTTAAATTCACACCTAATTATAGCTCTGATTTTTTACATATAGTTCAAACTAAAACTCTGATAGCCACTTTGAACAAAGACTTCTTGCCTTAGTTGATAGGCTTTGAACACTTAAATACATCACTGCTCTTACATTTCCCAGACGTTTTGCATTTTAAGACTTGAATTTCTTTACCCAAGTATTTGTAATATAAATCTTCCACATTGTGGATTGCCCTTATATATGAGTGGGAGAAAAGTTTTATTTAAAAAATGCTCAGTGAGTATTTGTACAGTTTCATGAAGTTTGTCTTGGAACCATGAGTAAAGTTGTCTTTGGCATCTAGAAGTGGTTTTTTTGAAGCACAGGTGCAGTTTATGCGTTTATTAGAGCTTTAGACTTGCAGCCTGGAGAAGTCATCAGGTAGAAACTTTTCCATATAATTTCTATAGCTGCATCTTTGTCTAATTTTACTGGAAAAATGCCATTTGTTTCCACATGTTTTGTTTCTGAAAGGTCAATTGTTGGAATGACCATGTATAATCAAGCAACACAGGAGATTGCAAAGCCTTCAGAGCTGTTAACCAGTGTCAGAGCCTACATGACAGTCCTGCAATCAATAGAAAATTATGTACAGATCGACATTACACGAGTGTTTAACAATGTTCTGCTTCAGCAAACCCAGCATTTAGATAGTCATGGGGAGCCAACCATTACCAGTCTGTACACAAACTGGTAAGTAATTGTATGGATGTTTGTGACAAGTTTTTTTATATTATTTTTATTTAACTTAATGTCTGGAATTAGAGAAGTGAAATTTTCTGATCTTTGACTTGACAAGTTTACATCTCCCAGCACCTGTTAGAAGCACTTTCAGGGTGGACTGTTGTGAAATGCACTTGTTATAGGGGGCAGATGTGGAGTAAGATGGAGATACTAGTTAAAATTTGAAACCCAAACTTGAGTCCTTGTCACACAAGTGTACTTAATGTGTATGGAATGTCTATGAACTTTACAAAATTGTTCATATTATCTAGTCTTTTTACCTAAAACTTTTTCCCAATCTGATAAGGTATTTGGAAACCTTGCTACGACAAGTCAGCAATGGTCACATAGCCTATTTTCCAGCCATGAAAGCATTTGTGAATTTGCCTACAGAAAATGAATTGACATTTAATGCTGAGGAATACTCTGACATATCAGGTAAACTTTGATGTTTCTACTGAATGTTTGTGAGTGACAGTTGTTGTATGCTTGAGTAACTGGAATAACTGCAACTCTTAGAGCAGGCTATTACAGACAGCATTTGTGAACCTGCAATCATATTTTAAGTACTTCATATTCATGCTGCCTCTGTGTCTTTGAGAGACCTTTCTTTTCTGGTTTTGGTCAGTGTAGAGTCGTTGCATTTAAGCTATGGAAACAGAAGTATGATGTGTTGGTGAGCGCTGCTTCACTTCTATTACAATATAAGTTCTCCTATATAAAATGATACTTTGTGGCAAGATATTTTTGCAATTGAAGCATTGCGAAAAACATGATGGGCATCAAATAACTGCTGAAGGAATGTTTGAAGTAGAAGAGTTTGTTTTATTTCTCAGAAATGAGAGCCCTTTCTGAACTTCTGGGACCATATGGCATGAAGTTTCTAAGTGAAAGTCTGATGTGGCACATTTCCTCACAGGTTGCTGAGCTGAAGGTAAGTTTGGGAAACTGGTGGGTGGGAAGGTGGGTCGTTTTGTTTAAGCTTCCTTTGGGATATTTAGTAGCTGTGCTTCTGTATGCCCTCTTTCTGAAATGGCTGCATCAAACATACTGATGAAGCTATGAATTCTACTCTTTTATAGTGCTTTTGCAGGTGAAGAATGTGGGATATGCATGCACTATAGTAGGCTAGACTTCATGCAGGCTCTGTTGATTTTGATGTTAGATACCCTAAGTGAGGAGTCAGGTGTCTGTTTTATCATCAGTGGGATGATAAATGCTTTTTAAGATCTTCAGATGCTTGCAAAGCTCTTCATTATGTTGACTCTCAAAACTTAGCATGGTAATCTCAAATGTATCTTTGTCATCTGTAAGGACATAATTTACCATGTGTGTTAGCATCTGTAGTTGAGTTCACATGGGTGGGAGGCTTCAGGTCTTTAGTTACTTTCCCTAATTTTTAGACACATTTCTCTCTGGCTGAAAGGTATAAACATTTATGTTCTGATAAACATGATACAGCAACACAAACAATAAAGGTGGTGCCATGAAAAAGGGAGATATGGGCATGTCAAGAAAGCTAGCTGCATGTATATTCAAAATAGCCAACAATCACAGAGGAAGAACTTGGTGTCTATGTAATTAACTCTTTCTGGAAAGAGATTTTAATAAATCTAGTGGTGTGTACTTCTTTCCCAGGAGTAGTCATACTGTTATAGTTTCACTAATTGTCATATATTTGCTTTTCATGACTTACTCTTTGAGTGTCATTTCCAAATGTAATTCCAAGCTGTTACATCTCATAATTTTGAATTTATTTAACCAGTAGTTACAATAAGGACTTTTTAGTAACTACTCACTCGGACTGTGTTTTTAAAAATGCATATGAATACCTAGAAGATACAAGAAACTTGAATTTTTTTCTCTTCAGCAATGATTTATTCTTATTAACATGCTAGGCCTTGAAAAGAGTGTGTTTTTAATATGTTCCATGTTAGAGTTTCCAAGATCTTGCTCTATCTGCAAATGTTGTGAGCTTCAGTGCTGCAGAGTTGCTAACATGTGTGATGCCTTAAAAGATTTGAAGCCTTTTATTCAGGGTCACAGCTTCAGGTGAGGGGCTGCTCATGTGTTCCAAGCTGCCAGAAAAGCATTCAGCAGCCCTGACATGAGCAGCCAGCCAGCCAGGGTAATGGATCCCTTATCCCCAGTCCGGTTTTTGAACTACAGGATGAGACTTTCTGGGTGAGAAGGCTGTGATTTTTCAAGTTAAATTGTTTAACTCCTGGCCATGCCCAAAGTAATACCTGTCATGCTTTAAGTAAAACAGAAAGCCTTTAGGTGGGTGTTTGGTTGTTGCTCTATTTGTCCTCTTCTTATGGAGTTGTCACATGTATCAAAATCAGCACGATTGGTATTGTGGCTTTGTGTGTTTTTTTAAAAAGCAACTTCAGGATGTCTCTAGGATTTGTTTTGTGATGCTGCTAGGGATAAGCAGAACATAATGTGGATCCATATGTGTATGACCACATAGTTGGAGACAAAATATAAAGCAATAAAAGGTTCATCTCTTTGGCTGAGATGCAGTTGGCTTAGCAAGAGAGCCCTGAACAGCATCTGTGTTTGGGGGAAAGAAGCAACAAAAGGATAGAATGGGGAATTGATTAAGAGTAGGGTTCAACATTTTGGCTTTGCTTCCTGCAATGGGACCAGGTGTTGGTTTTATATCTGAAGTTTAAGACTGGGGTGAGGAGGGGAAGTTTGCCTCATTTAAGTAACTGTTTGAACTGTATTCCAACCTGCCCTTTTTAAATGTTAAACTAATATGTTGGTTACTTTTTGTGAAGCTGAAAGCCTGACTCAGTAAAGTGTGCGTGGGCTGTTGCCTTCAATCTTGTGTTCCAGAGAGCTTTGAGGGGTTTAAATGACTGTGTCACATATCTGCCAAGTTTTGGTACATAGGTTGGTTTAAAATTACCCATCTCTACTAAAATGCAAACCAGTCTTGCTTTGTTTCTAGCATAGAGGTACATCTTGTGTGTCTGTGTGAGTGCACACCTTCTTGCTGTTTCTTACTTCTTGTATAGCTTATTTCTTCCCTTGCTTCTCACTAAATATAAGAAAAATAAAATGGGAAGACTGATTGGGTTCTTGACTTGAGCTCATGGAATCAGCATGACTATGACACAATGTAATTGATGCTGAGAGTCCTCAGCTTTTGGACACATGTGCTTTGCAGAGGGTTCTTGACTAGGTGGGAGTAAACACAGACCCCCATTTATCTGTTAGCAGCATTATAGTTAAAATTGTGTTGGTTTTCTCCTCCTCTGTCATCACAGGAATATTTACTCTGTAATTTGATTTCCCTCCTTGCCAGTTGCTTTGTTTTGCCCTGTTTTCAGTGTGGGTTGAAGCTAAGTAAAATGAGACTAATAAATCAGAACTATTAAAGGCCAAATGTTCTTGGATCCTTCTGCAATAGATTCCTGCAGGTATATTTTCTTAGGTTTTGTATGATCCCTCTTAAATCACATTCCAGGCTTACAGTGGCCTGTGTGCTTGATGAGTAGTAGTTTTTTTACCCCTTCCCTCCTCATTACTCTTTTTGTTCGTGCTGCTTGGTGATTGATGGGTTGGTATGCATCCACTTAGAAAAATGAAAACTATTAATAATCACTTTGGAAGACCACCCCCAGTGCAGAATATCTTGTTTACTTGCTCCATCTTTCAGTTCTTTCCTGTCTTGATCCTGTGTCTTTAAAATAAATAAATCTATTTCTTCCTTTCAACTTCCAAAACACGCAAGATACCTACACTTCTTTGCTGTTGCTTGTCCTCTAATTAAAGAGAGAGAATCATATTCTTCATTTCCGAAATAGGGTACTTTGAATTCAAATGGGGAAAAAAAAAGTACCTATTTCTAGATTGAAGAGAGTTTAAAAATACTACTTGGAACAACATAAGTTCTTTAGCAAGAAACCCTTTTTTGGATCTGACATTTTATAAATGTGATTATGCAATCCCTGTAATTCACATTTAAATCTGATACATATTTGGATAATAATTTCAGGAAAGTTCTGACATTTATCCCAGTGGTACAAGTTGCTATGAGAGCTATTATAAATTAGGAACAGGCACACATTTCTTTTGGTTAAACTGACATGAAAAATATTGCACTTGAGTGTAACTGTTCCAGGCTGAGGTTTTGGGACTTCAAGGAATGTCTTTGTGTTTGTTTTACATAATAGTAAAAGAAAATTTCAAGTAACGTGCACCAAGGTTTAACAATCTGACTCTTAACACTCTTCCATTTTTCAATTTTACCAGAAAGGAGCACACCAAAAGAATGGCTTACATTGTGAATCTGCAGTTTTATTGGTGTAGATACACTTTCTCTAATAAAAAGCTGAAAAGCATGAGGAGCTGTTGTCTGATTTTACAGAGGTTCATTTCCTTGTTTTAACAAGTTGTGCTAATGGCTGAATCATGTTTCATGGGGGATCCAGCCCTCTGCTTTTGGATTCAGAGCTTGCTTTTGTGTAGACTAGTGCCTGATGGTAATACTGATATTGTAGTGATGTTAAGAAGACAGTGGGTATATCTTTATTCCATGAGTTTAGTTAACCTCTCTGCCAGACAGAAATATTCTGAACCATGCATTTATCCTTGTAACATACTGAAATCAGTAGCTGACCTGAATCTGCTTCTTTTTAGAAACTTGTGGTGGAGAACGTTGAAGTTCTAACACAAATGAGGACCAGCTTTGACAAGCCAGACCAGATGGCAGCACTCTTTAAAAGATTATCATGTGAGTAACTAGTAAGGTCCTATTGAAGATGTAGAATTGTTTTTTCCTTTGCAAAGAAAAAGAGAAGGATTGATTTCTCTATTTTAAGTATACAGAAGCAGCATTTACATACATGACGTTCCATTGTTCATTAGTGCATGGGTTCTATAGTGTTGTTGAGCCTTGAGCATCTCGTCAGGGCTGGCAGCTTGTGGCTCTCAGGGCAGAAATCCACACACCAGGGTATAGCTGGAGAGTACAAACCACAGGCACTTTGAACACACTTTTCTGATTTGATTCCATCACAGTGCAAATGATTGCATTACTTGGGGGGACTTTCATGTGTCATTAACATAACTAATTATTTTTAACAAGAATAGTTATTATAAGGAGATATTTTTGGCCTCCAGTAAGCACAGACGTGGTGTTAACCTCTGGTGTTGTTAGGTGTATGTACAGGGGTTCATTTCATGAAGTGGTTAACATGACAGTCTTCTACTGAAAATCCTCTTGTCAACTCAGCTACAAAAACCTGCTTAAACCCTGCTTATTCTGGCTCTTTTAAGGAATGCCTTAGTTTCAGTACCTCATGTTTTTTCAGTATATGAAATGTTTTTCTTGCTCTCTTTTTTTTTTTAAGAGTTGAGCTTGTAAACCTTAGTGTGTTCTTGTTGACTGTTGTGCTGTTTCTTTTCAGCTGTTGACAGTGTTTTGAAGAGAATGACCATTATTGGTGTTATCTTGTCCTTTCGGTCGTTGGCACAGGAAGCACTTAGAGATGTAAGAAAATAACTGAATATGTTCCAAATAATTTTATTTGTAATGAATTTAATGGAATGATGGGGTGTTGGAAGCCTCACTGTTTCAGAATGCTACCTTGTAAAAGGTTTGCATGTGGGGGAAATGGCAGTACTCGGTCATAACTCAACTTAGAATTGTGGGCTGGGGGTAAGGGAAAGAATTCTTGAGTACTGTGCAGGAAAATACTGTGTTAAATTATATAGGCTGTAGTTTAAGCTCACCTCTCAGTGTTCTGTGTGTTGAGGATGTTTTAAAAAGTTCCACTTCACTTTGCAAACAGCTTGATTTTTGCATTTATTAGGCTTTAATGTCTTTAATCTACAAATTCGTGGGCATAAAATAAAACCTCAAAAAAAATTAGGTCAGTAAAAAATGGTAGTGTCTAATTGATCCTTAATGTGAGAATATTTCTTTCTCATTTTTTGTGTTTCTGTCTCATAGGTATTATCCTACCACATTCCTTTCCTTGTAAGTTCTATTGAGGACTTCAAAGATCACATTCCAAGAGAGACTGACATGAAGGTAATGTTTGGCCCAAAGGGTAATGAAGTCACTTTAGGAGCTTACTGAAAATATGTAAGGGGCAAGGCTTGAATGCTTAGTGTGAAAAATCCAGAAACAACACCACTTTTCCAGAAAGCTAAGCAGTTGTGCATCTGCATCCTCTTAATGTTTTTTGGGGAAAAAAACAAACAAACAAACAAAACACAAAAAAAACCCACACCAAAAAAAACCAAAACAAAAAAACAACAAACCACAAAACAAATTTTGGGGTAAGCACTATTTTCCATCTGCCTTTGATCACGTTTGAGAACTTTCATGGAAAGAATGAAGAACAAATTCTATCAAATGTGAAAACCTGACTAAGTGATAACTTGAAGAATACTGAGCTGCTTCAGAGTGTGAGCAATATAACTGGTAAAACCAAATGTTTAGTAAACTGTGTATGTGGTTGAAGCTCTGTGTGTGTAATAGCTGCCATTCTGATTTTGGCCTTAAATTGAAAATTCTTGTGAACCCACTGTCTGAGCTTGAAAAAAACAGTAGCTTAAATAGGGTGCCTTGCTTCTGGGGGGTAGTGTGTCTGTCCAAAAACCCTTGTCAGGACATCAGGTAGGTGCAGCCAACTGTTTATTCAGTTTGGAGCCTACCAAGGTTTGCAGGCTTCTTAATGGTGTTGTGGCAACTGTATTTGCATAATATGTGCAGTGGGATATAACTTGTGCAACTCTTGATTCGCTCTTACAGAAACATCTTTTACCCATCTGCTATTGAGAAAAGTGTTGAGGGCTGGAATATGTTGTTATTCCTGAAATGGCAGTTCATTATTTGCTTTTTACTCTTGGGGGAAGAAACTCGAGTTGTGTTGTGTATGAAGATTCACTAAATAAAAAGAAATTATCCTCCTTGTAAAAGCATGTTACAGGAACAGTTCAGAGTCCACTATGGTGGGCCTCCTGATTTCAGTAGGCACTGCTTAGTCATCTGTCTGCAAATGTCAGGGGTTGCATAAAGAATAAGTAACTTAAATTTCACACATATGCTGTTTCATTCCAAAATATAATCACATGTTCTTTCAAACTTGCGGTTCTAATAACTCAGCTGTGAATGTTTCATGTCCCAGAAAACACTGAATTTCTTGCCACAGTAGATGAGTTCTGGGGAAAAGCGAAGGAAAAGTAGCTTCAAGGATAGTGGCTCTTGATAGTCACTGCATCAAAATAATGCAAGTTCCCTTGGCACTTCTTAAGAAAAACCTTTCTAAAATTCTCCCCTATAGTTATAGAGAAAATAATTCCTCACCAAAGCATCTTGTTATATTGTGAACCTGAGGTATCAGCATGCAGAAGAGACAAGAAGGGAAGTTCACTGCTTCCTTTTCTTGATCTTTTCAGAAAGCATCTTAAACCCTTTGCTATCAAAGGGGTGCTGAAAAACAGTGAGGGATAAAGGCTGCAACAGAAATAAGTGAAGACAGTATTTTATTGCTGATACTTTTAACCTGATGATAATGGATAATTCTAAACATCTCAGTGGATCTCTAGACATGACTGAATTCACTTGTGTCAGTGGATAGAGAAGGCATAGTGCTTGAGAGTTCTTGTCTAGAAGTCACTGGAATTACTTGTGGTCACTGGAAAAACTGGATGGCAAAAAAGTACTGTTCACTGCTAGATAAAGTTGTGCTGAGGACTCTTCTCTGGCTCATGCCACATAGCACCAGCCAGCTGCTTCTGCTTCATGTCATACTTGGCCTTCTCTGGGTCTGCTGTAGTTGCACTGTGATACTTAAATATACTTCTCTGTGCGTGTCTTTTTTTGGGTTCCAAGTGTCTGAAACAAGTTTTAAGTCCTCCCTGCTGGTGTTCACATGACAGCAAAACTGTAGTGTTCCTGTCTTTTGGTGTGTCATGATGCCACAACAGCTTGTTTGACTACATAGTACTGTGCACGGAGAAGGAGCCAGACCTGGGTAGGCTTGCCCATAGTGCCTACTGCTATTACTGGGAGCTTTGACATCTGCTACCCCACAACTCTTCCAGTGCTTTGTCTTGAAAATAGCTTGTTGGAAGGGCCAGAGCTGTGCTGTGAGCCTGCTGACAATTAGGCCCATGGACAATCAGCAGCTCATTGTCTGAGCTCTCTCCTGGCCTTGCCACATACAGCAGTGCCGTTGTAGGCAACAGCGGCTGCTTTTGGGACAATAAGGCAGACTTCTTTTTCTGAAATGAAGACGTGTCAACAGGCAGATCTTTACAAGGTACAATGGATTGGGACAGTTGCCCAGCTGGGTGTATTTTAGGACATAACAACATAGTAATTTCCTATACACTGAATTTACCAAGCAAAGCATATATATTTTTAAAGCTTTTGTTGAAATAAATGCTTGTGATGGAATGTTACTTTTATTTTTCTATCCTTGGAACTTATGGTTTGAGGTGACTGGCAAAGTGGGGATCTGTTCTCCTTTTATTTGGTTATTTTACATATTAAATTGTTGGGCTGTCTGTAGAGGCTTTTAGAAACAGGCTTGCATTTGTTCTACTGTTGCTCCTTAACTAGTTTGTGAACCAGCTCCTATCCTGATGCTCTGTAGTTCTTATAGTGCAGGACTGTACTCAAAAGCCAGTTCCATACATCCTGCTGACAGCCTAGCACTGCCCAAACAACATGGTGTGCTTTTCCTAGCAAAGCTTGCCCTCAGGTAGCCAGGCTGGAGCAGAGGAGTAAGGAGAGTCTGCACAGTATTCTCTGCGTGCAGCTGTGAGAATTTGTGAGCAAAGAGAAAAAGTTCTCAAACATGAATGGCAGTAAAACCTATGGGTAGTGTTTCCCGTAGCCATTTATACCAAACACAAACCTGCTCTTGCAGTCATTAGTCTGAACTGCAGCTACAGATGCTTTGTCCAGAGTGTGGGCTGGGGGAAGAGGGAATAACTGTGTTGAGTGTTTGTTAATGGCAACAAAAGATACAAGCTGGAAAATGGAATGTTTCAAGATGCTTTTCATTCCTCCAAGTGTTAGGGCCACGTGGAGTCTGATTCTTGGCACTTGGAATCACTGCACACTGAATCTGTATCAAATTTGGATGTAGGATGCCTTAACTCTAATATTTCCCTGGGTTGTGACTTTTGGCTGTTGTCTAAAACTGTAGTATGTGCAGATGTTAGCTGATGCTTTCGATTGGGTAGAGGAAATGTGTTAGTTTCTTTTGCAAAGTAAAGAAGAAGGTAGAAATAGCTAATTGGAAGTGAGGATGTTTGCTTTGGAGGTCATCTGGAGAAGTATACAAGCTTTGTTTGGCTTCACAAAAAGAAATTATCATCTAGCACACCAAATACTTACCCAGCTGCTCAGTATAGGTTAGAAACAAACTCAAGTCTAGAGTCTCTTGTTTTAGCCAAGTCTCTGGAATGCCTTAGTGCTTTTAACTCTCATATGAACATTTTAAGCATGAGAGCAAAATTGCTTCATCATGTTTACACAAAAAGCATTCAGTGGTGTCTTTTGCTCTAATTACCTTTCTTCTGGTCCTCAGGTGGCAATGAATGTATATGAACTGTCATCAGCTGCTGGACTGCCGTGTGAGATTGATCCTGCTTTGGTTGTAGCACTGTCTTCCCAAAAATCAGGTAAAAACTGCAAGTTAAAAAATATGCATGTGAAAAAAAAAAAGGGAAGAGCAAAAAAAAATGAATGTAAGTGTTTAAAGTCCTAGGATAAGACTTTTATAACTTGGATCATTTGTATTCCTTCCATGAACCCCATAAATGGCATAAGAATTATTTGGGCCTAATGTGTTCGCTTGAGAATCTTTTCAACCACAAATTAATTAACTTGACCTAGAAAAGAAAAACAACTGGATGTTGAAGGAGTTTAATAGCTCATGGTGGAAATTCCTAGAGTATAAGGACACTGCAGACATGATCAGTTGTGTTGGACAAAGCTATGTCCCATAAGTAGGCATTAGGAGCTGAAATGCCAGCTTGAATGCACTCCATGAATCCCACAACACTGTGTTACTGGTGTGTTATGCAGGTGTTAACATGGTAAAATACACGTTAATGTTCTAACATGTTCAGTGCTTCCACTTACTTGCTTTAAGGCACCACTGTCCAAGCTTTTCAGTTTTGTTTGCTCTAGCAGATGTGAAGCTTTTTGACAATGTTCAGCTTCTTTACCTACCTTCTTGACTGAGCACTTGATTGCTTTTTTCCCCTGTTTGTAATGAATAGTCAATCTTATAATCACAAGTGGATATTTTAAATGCAACCCAAGTTTTCCTCTTGCTTCAATAGTAATTATTTTGGGAGGGGAAAATACAGCCAATTCCAGGGGGCATTTTAATATTCAGACAAGTGTCAAGCACAATGTCTTTGTGTAGCTTAAAAAAAGAAAGTATATGTTTTGTATACATTATATGTAGGGATTTCTTTGGGACATAGCTAGTGTTGATACAGCATTCTTTTTATTTGGTGCATCTGTGAAATGTTTTAACTGGATGAACAAGACAGGGAGTTTTTGTTTATTTTCCTGATTGGTTGGGATCTTCTGTTTTGTTTCTTGCCTTAGCAGTGTGTTTAGCTTTTAGCAATTCAGTTTGTACACATGCAAGTACCAACTTTTGGCTTTTAAAAATCTAATCTTATGCACATGTGTGGTGATGCTGCTGGTTTTGAAAACACAAGGTTTTAGAGTGAATGGAGGTGAGTGCACATCACCTTCTGCCCCTTTTCCAAATGGACAGTGCAAGAGAACATCTCCTGAGCTCAGAGCAGTAACAGGGTTTGGATCATAATGCAAAAATACTGTTCTGTGCCTTCACTCTTGTAGATAACCAACTGAACCTTTTGAAGCTCCACACTGTGTCCTTTGGCAAGACTGCCATCATCTTCCTCCTTTCACAATGCAGCTACTGAGTTTGTTGTTGATGGGTTTAAATATCAGTTTGTTCAGGTGCTTTGTGTTCTAAACTAACTGCTGTTGAAAGGAAATACTTGAAGATTAGTTCTTGAATGAAAGAATTTTGCTTTTGTTTGCAGAAAACATTAGCCCAGAAGAAGAATATAAAATTGCTTGCCTTCTCATGGTCTTCGTGGCAGTTTCCTTGCCGACTTTGGCCAGTAATGTGATGTCCCAGTACAGCCCTGCCATTGAAGGTAATGTAGAGTCACCTAAATGTATATTCTGGGAATGCTTTCTTTACAGTAGTCCTGGTAGCTTTTTGTTACTTTAAATGTTTACTTAAATGTTGTCGTGAACAAAAGGTTAAAATCAGCCCAAATCCAGGAAAGTTTTTCTGAGTTACTTAAAAAAGAACTTACCAAATTAACTCTTGACTTAATTTTATTAATTAACTCTTGTTTGAGATAACTTTCTATGAAAAATGAGTCTTCGAGATTTTTAAGAACAGTTCAGATACTGCAGGGGGCAGTCTCGTGCTAGTATATGATGTTGCTAGGGCCTACCTTCTACATTAATCACTGCGGGACTTAATGTAGCCTAGTATACAGTGTTTTAGGAATCTTTACATCTGGTTTGGGCCACTTGCACAAGGTGTCTTTTCTATATTTCATGTGCTGTTCATATTACTAAGCATAACATTTTGAAAGCAGGGTCTGGAAGGTGTAAACTGAATAGAATAATACTCTAGGCAGCAGTTCAACTTATTAAAAAAGCCAACATTGCCTTGAGGAGGTTCTTCCCTTGTTACCCACAAAAAAAGTTATTCTTCAGACAAAATGAAGTTGAAAAAGTAAAAAAAGACTAACAAAACTGTTCCAACACACACAAAAGTCACCTTTCAGCTGTTCAAGCTATTTCCTCTGTAATGCATAGCATGGCTCACATAAAACACAGTGTTTATTCTGCATCCACTTCCTGGGTGTAGTAGTAGTTTTACAATATTTTATTTTCCATTACTTGCATTACTTCCAACCTGGTCAAAATTTAATTTGCAAAGAATGTCTAAATTGACTTGTGAAAATGCAAAGTACTAGGAGAAGACAAAAAATCCTGACAGCCTTCTGCATCACTGGGCATAGTATGCAAACCACTTTTTTTGAGAGAACTGAGAGTGTTGTTCTAAATTGGGTTAATGAAAAATTTCAATTTGGAGAGATTAAGGATTTGTTAACTAGTGAACATGTTAAACAGGTAGTGTAGCCTTTTGACAGTTGTGAAAACAATGGATAAATTTCAGTTGCAGTGAGTATAACTTGAACATTGATTTGTCAAGTTAGAAATATTAAACTTTGTACAGCTTCTTCTGATGAATAGGGAGAAAAATCTGGAACATGCAGAGTTGCTTCATTTTATCTGCACTCCCTGGCATTGCTGTAGCTTTTTGTGAGCTTCAGAGTCGCAATGGCTGAACTAAAATCTCAGAATACAGGCAAGAGCAGGATATATAAAATGTGTTTGGTGAGGGGTGTGGGTAGAAACATGCTTGTTAAGGACAGTCAGGTTGGTTCTCCTAACTCTGCTCAAACCAACTTGTTTACGTGTGTTTGAGACCACATCTCTTAAACATAATTTGTTCATAGTTTTGTAAAAGAAGCCCTCTGGAAGCCCTTCCAGCTACCTGTTAGTCCTTCAAAAGCATCTTATGTGCCACGGAGTCTCAAAACTTAGACTAGTCACCAGGAGGACAGTACTGAAAGTTTTTTATGGTGGATGTATTTTCACATTCATCCTTCTGCACATGAATTTTTAAGAATGTGAGTCTGTTTAGGTAGAGGTTCTCCAGCTGGTTAGAGCTCATGCAGTTTTGCCTTCCTCAGGCTCCCCTCTCTTCCAAGGACCCTCTTTGTCCTCAGGGTCTCAGCAACAGCTAATGATACCTTCTGCCTGTTTTAGATTGTGTAGCTCAAATATTCCAGTTTCTCTGATTTCATTTACATTCAATAACTTTTAACAAGAAGTCAGACAATGCCTGTTTGAACGTGGCTTCTCCAAGTGAGTACAGTAATAAGATCTCATAAAATTATGACTGGAGAGAAGTTAAATCTAGTACTCAAGCCTCTATTAGGAGTTGCTACTGATTTTTTTTTTTTTCCTTATGAGGTGTGGCCTCTGTATTATGTAATTCTTGACTTGACTGGGCTGTTTCTTTGAGAGGAAAAGAGTCTGGCATAAGGAGTACATAAAATATGTTCGCTCTACAGAAATAACTGAACAAACAGTTCAGTCAAAAGTTGTTAGTTCTCTCTTGCATAATACTTATTCCTGTGTTCTGCCCTTATTGTACAACATCTGGCTTTAGAAACGTAATAGACATGTTGTTTCCAGAATGACAACTTAATAAGTGCTGGTTTTTTTCAGAGTTAGCTTCCTGAACAAACTCTGTATTTATCCATCAACAAGTTACAGATTTGAAGGAGTTGCATTTTTCCAATCTAGCAAGACATACCTGCCAGATACAGACAGCTGTTGGAGAGCTTAGCAATGTCTGTGTTCTCTCTGCCTACTTCAAGATCAAGCCTGCTTCTTCCATTAGCCCCAGATAAAGGCGCAGACTCTTAAGACTTTGGTTCCAATAAGAAATCTGAACTGCTTGCTAATCAAGTATCAGGCTAGAGGTTTATTGTCTAGAGGCCAGAATAGAGAACCAGTCTGCAAGAGACACAGCCTGTTCTGAGCAGGTTGGAAAACAGTAATTTCTTAGCTCATTCCCTTGCTGATGCTTTTCCTACAGTCTTTTGAGACATAAAAATGAAAGCACTTAAATAAAATCAAGCCCTGTCAAATATAAACTTAAATCAGCAGAATTAAGCAGGTACTCTGGGCTGATATTCAAGGCAAGTGATTATGTACTTTTTGGACTAGCATCTTCATGCAGCAATATTTAATTTAAGAAATAGGAGACAGAGTAAGAGTATCAGTTCTGGCAGCCTTGCTGGTAGAGATCCGCAGGGATCTGTGCTGGGACCTACTAGTCAGTGTATTTACAGACCACCCAGAAGGAGGGTGAAGGCTGAGGAGAGAAAATTTTCCTACCATGTGATGATAATAGAGGAGTAAAGAGCTGCAGACAGATTTTATGACACTGATTCAATTGTGCAATAAAATGACACAAATTGCAGTTTAAGTCAGAATAGTGAATATGTATGGGGAAGAAATTGAATTTTTCTCATGTGAGTGATGGGGTCTGGTTGACCTCACTCTTTAGGCGTAGTCTGGAGCTGTGATAAATGACTGAAAAAACTGAGCTCAGTGCTCAGCAACAGTAAAAAGGAATTTGTAAGAATCAGCAGTGTTTGTGTGCTTGTATGCTTCTTAACTCCTGCAAAGACCCCCTGCTTGTTATGTGCCAGCACTCTGCCAAGGTATTTGCCCAGGTGTCTTACTGGTTTAGTTAAAAAGTTGTAGATTTTAATTAATCTGTCTAGAAGAGTTATCAGGCTTACTGAGGACCTGTTCTTCTGCTCTCTTTGCAAACTAGTGTCATTTAACTGCCTTTCAGACCTCTGATGCCTGGGTGACTTTTAGGCAAGATAGGTACAGCAGTTAGCAATGTGAGGTTTTGTTCATGAGTTCCTGTAGGTCTCTGAGGTGAATGCTGTCTGGCCATGATGACTTGCTCATTTACAGAGAGGAGCAGCCAATTAGCTTGGAAAAAAACCTGCTTCCAAGTCTCTTTTTAGCCTGGTCAGGTGGTAATACTCTTAAATTTTGTAGAAGCCAAATAAACTTCCAATATGTTATTTTTCCTTATTTCTAAAAGCCACAGGAATGTTGGTCAGGTTGTGGTGACCCTTGCAGCATCGAGAAGGGAGATCTGTACTTCAGGTCCCTTTCCTGATGCCACTTCCTAAGAACCAGTGCTTGGGTCCTGTTGTCTAAGATGCTACAAGTCGACCTGCTATTGTGACAAGTCTGTTTCCTCAAGTGATGTTTACCAAAGAGTACTGTCCTTTCTAACATGATGCTGAGGTCATTTGTTTGTTTTTGTTCAGGGCACTGCAACAACATCCATTGTTTGGCAAAAGCCATCAACCAGATTGCTGCAGCTTTGTTCACCATCCACAAGGGAAGCATCGAAGACCGTCTTAAGGAATTTCTGGCTGTATGTATGCCTACATTTCTAGAGCTAGCTCCTCTAAAAAGAGGCCAACTCTCTCCCCCCTAATGCCCCTCAATCTGTTTGTATACAGGGTCTATCTTGTGCAGGGCTGTCATGCAGTAATCAATGTGTTTCTCACTGCAGGAGTTGAGCAACATAGCCACGAGCAATCTTGATAACAAGGGTGTAAAGATTTAGACTAGTGTGGGTGACCATTGATTAACCACCCTTCATGCCAATAGTCATACTGTTTCATAATGTCTCATGTTTCTTATTTTCCTGCAGTTAAAAGACTGCAGAGAAACTAAAGTTATGGAATAATATAGTGCTGGTTTTTCTTTTAAGAAAATCGGGTGTGGGAAAGTTACTTTTTGAAGACCAACCATAAAATTTGTATCTTGACAAGGAAAAATATTTCTTGACTTGAAGAAGTATTTTCAAATTCAGGTGAAAAATGTAATATTATTTTGGGGTGCAATGCAATTGATTCCACGGAAATCTGATTTGGGTGCACAAGAGAGAAAAGCATGTTGGTAATACAAGTCTATATGTAGTTTAAATTTAGTAGTAGTCCTTTAGCAAGAGTTGTGTGTCATGTTGCAAAGTAACAGTAGCAAATGAATACAGGTGTAATAATTTTTTCTTGAATCTTTAGTATGATGGTATGTGCAGCCCATGACTGGAAAAAGAAACATGCAATGCATATAAAAATCAAGGTTTTATCTAGCAGGATTTTTTGCCATTATGTGTTGGGGTCAGGTTTATTTGACTTTCTCAAAGAATGTAACTCCAGAGAGGCTTCTGAGTTGTGCATTTTGACACATCTGTCCTTCTTAAACAGTGACTGTCTGACAGCAGTATTTTACAGGGATATTTGGGGAGAGGAATTTTTATTTTTCAGGGTAGGTTGAAGATGAGAGCTTCTGGGATCCTTAGTGATGCTTAGAAAAAAAGGAAAGCCCTTAGGTCGTTGTGATGCATTTTAAATACATTTTGGTGTGCTGCTCTGGTAGAAATGGAATTTTTCAAGTGGCTCCTAGGTAGCTGAGAATTGAAGAGAAGCTAAAGGTTAAAATGGCAGCTATGCTGTAATTTTTAAAAATCACTGCTGATTTTGAGTGGTGGTTGATTTTTTTGCTGTTTGGCCTTGAAATGGGAAAATAATCTTTTTCTCCATTCAGTGGCTTGCACTCTCATGGGAGTGAGATAATGGTGACTTTCTGCTACTAGAAGTCCAGAGAAACAATTTATTTTTCTTCTTAAAAGGATCTTTAATTTCTGGAAGCTCCTGGCATTTTGTGTAACAGGAAAAAAACTTGGGCCATGGACCTTGTCTAATGCAACTGTAAAAGATGAAAGAGAAATGGTTGTGTCAAGTTGCAGACATTTGACAAGTGAAGGAAACCAGTAGAGTTTCATGTGATAAAAACACTTTTGGGATGAGGTTTGAATTTTTCAGTGGTTACAGACTCGTTTCACACCACTGCTTTTACTGACCATGACTTGATGGTTCAGATATTTTGATAATCTTTCTTTTCTAACACCTTTTTTACATCACTGTGAGTCTGAAAGAAAAACATTGCTCTTAAGAAGAAAATGTGCTGCTGGGAATGATCTGCTTTCCTGTCAAATTTAATTACTTAAGAAAAAAACCTAATAGGCTATTTAATACTGATGAGCATGTACTAAGATTATTTTGAAGTATGCACGTTCACTTTATATTACAAATTGAATGATGACAGAATTTGTTCAAGAGGAATCTTGATTTACATTTTAAAGATAACATTTCAAGTTAAAATCCATTTCTGGCAAATACGTGGTTAGGCACATTGCCATTGCTTGATATGAGGGCATAAATGATGATTGTACATCTGAAAGCTGAAAAGAGTTGCTTTTTCAAATTTCTTTAAGGCATATAAGTGTGGGGTTATCAGTGCATCTGGAATTTGTTACTGTTTTCTGTCAACCCTGAGTTTGTAAATAGCTAAGAGCGAGTTACAAGTTCCTAGGATCTTACGGTGCTCATGGTCTGATAAAATACTAATTTGCAACGAGGATGACATCACTTAAAAATACAGTTTAGGAAATAAACCAGCAGGTTTGTCCTGCTGTTGCTAAATATTATAACTTCAAACATTAAACACTCCAATTACTTTAAATCTTGCCAAGATCCTGATCCCATGGAAGTTCTGTCATGAGTTACAGTAGACTTCATAAGGGTCAGCCAAAAGCTGCGTGCAATAAATTCATATATTGTATTAAAATAGCAAATAGTGCTTATTAAACGCTGCTAGAAATAAAGTGGCTCAGTGAGACTGAAGCACAACACTGGGTCATGTCCAAGATCACTTTCTTTTGTAGCTGTTAGTGTACCTCAGAGCCTGTTGGTTAGTGTGTGTATAGCAGAATAGCACCAGTCAAATAATGTGTGGTCTTATTGCTCTGAAATGCTTGTTTTTATGTAGCTTGCATCATCTAGTCTATTGAAGATTGGCCAGGAGACAGACAAAACTACTACAAGGAACAGAGAATCAGTTTACCTCCTCCTAGACATGGTAAGCTTCTGTCTTGTTTATGTGGTACTAACGTAAGGAATGGGCTTCACATTGCATAATTCAGCAAGGGGTCTGGGTTGTCACCTTGTGTTGCTCAGTTTTTTTTATTCCCCAAACACAGACACTATTCTGTCATCATCCTTTCTTGCTAGAACATTTTTTCACATCATTTTGTTTGGTCGTTTAGCACATACCATATCAAAATGAAATGTCATGTTAAAGAAGCTCTGTTCAGAGTGTGTGTGGGAAAATCCTCCCTGCTCAGAGGTTTTCCTTTCAGTATTATGTACATTTTGGAAGTGGCAGGAGTCCAATGTGACTATATATATAGGAAAGCTAAATTACTAGTTTTGAGAAGTGGTGAGTTTATGGCAATGTGTTTGTTCCCAGCATTTCAGCTCTGACATATGTGAGTGTTGTTGAGGTGCAGACCAGCAGTATCTCCATGAAGCAGGTTAGCATCAGCAGGCAGTAGAAAGTGTTCTGCAAAACCTTGTCATTCTGGCATTTTTCAGATTGTGCAGGAGTCTCCTTTCCTGACAATGGATCTCTTGGAGTCTTGTTTCCCTTACGTCTTGCTGAGGAATGCATACCATGCTGTCTACAAACAAAGTGTCACATCCTCTGCCTAAGTATCTACTCACTGGAGCTCAGACATAGCACGCATCTACGTGGCCTCAGTTTTATCTGTAAACTGTGGAGCTATTTTACTTTATGGCCTGATGAACAGTTTTGTGGATTATAAACTTTTTTCATCAAGTTGTATTTCTGATCAGTGGTTTCCTAATATGGTTGTACTACAATATAAGCTTGGTTGAATTTAGGTTGCACATTCATGGAAAACCTTTTTTCTCATTTCTTCCTTATTTTATTTTAGAGCATCAGTTATGTTTAAAAAGATACTACTTCTGCTACATGTTTTTGATATTGATCATGCAAAAGGAAAATTGCTTGTTTATTTCCAGAAGAAAAATGTATTTAGTGATTATTTTAGATAGCGTAGCTTTCATCTGTGTGTAAATTATTTCATATAGGGAGAGTTATAATCTTGTACCTATTGTTCTTATTGAAAACAAATACTGGATGTGCATTTCTGTGAAGTAATGACAGCATTTCTAGTTTTATTTTGAAATACTCACCAATCTATGTGCTCTGACACTTATCTAACATTTACAATGTTATAGGTCTGCTTCTCCCTCAGACATCGATCCTCTCCTGATGCTCTTAAACAACAGCAAGTGGTGTTGTTTGTATAAAGCATAGTGGAAATTTTTTTAAAACTAACTTCTGTGGTGCCCTGTTGGCATTAACACTACCATTGTACCCTGCTGTATAATAAACATTCTTACACACTTATCACATGTTGATAAAATGTTAGCCCTTAACCACTTTTGATATGTTTTAAATTTTTGAAATTCAAGTGTACCTTCCATAACATCCAATAAACACTAGACTGTATTATCTGTAGGTGAATTATTTTTAATATAAATGTTATCATAGTATTTTAAGCTTAAACTGTGCTGTTGCACATTGATTTACTTCTCACAGTTCATTAAATATCAAACCTTAGAGCTTATATGTGAAGACTTCTTTTAATCCTTCACTTTTTGGCTTCTGTGACAGTGAATCTTGTAAAAAGCTGGAAGAAGGAATTAAAAACAATGTAAAAAGTTTCACTTTAGTGTTAATTTTACATAACAAAGCAGGAAAAGCATTTATATAGAAAGTAGCAGTGCCTGTTGCACCCATAGAAATAAGTGTATTGTTGAAATATACAACTTCAAATATTCCTAAAACAGGGGAGTGTTGCTAAATGCCTAAGACATGACCTGGACAGATGGGAAGAGCCTTTTTTCATCAGTCCTGCAGATCAGTCCTCAGGGCAAGGTTGGCTCTTCAGCCCTAAAGCTGACCAGGTGGTTGGCCTCTGTAAGCCACAGCATAGGAAACCTATGTGTTCTCAGCAGGCTCTGGATATTGTACAGAGCCCCTGTTCTTGATGCAACTTACTGCATGCTGGTGACTTCTGTTATGAAAGAGCTCTTGTGTGCTCAGTTACAATAGCTTTCTCTGTCCAGAGGGAAAAAAGTACTGGAATAAAATTGTCCTAAGGAAGTAAGACAGTACATCTATATTTTTCCTAATTATGCGTTTTGTGTTATAACCGTGGAACTGTTTTTAAACTGATAATTTAATACTATAATGGGTAAGTTTGTTCACCAAAAAGTTAGGTTGACTGCAAGGCTTGACTTATTTTCTGTAATATTTATCATTTAATACATTCAAATGTCTTTATTTGAATTACTTGTTTGATTGTAATTTAGCCTTTTGTGGAAAGTAATGCCTGTTTTCAACACTGACTCTTGAAAATGTCAAGTTTTAAGAAATAACTTATGTTTTTAATCTTTCTAAATTCCCAGCAATTGTTTGGTCAGTTGCCTCTGATCCCCACCAGCTCTCCTCTCGCTGAGGTGTTACTGAATGAGGCCTACAAGACAGGTGATCTCTGACAAACAGCTGAGGAGTGCAGTACCCTTCCAAGAAGCTACTTCTGACACAGATTAGATGTACTTGTGAACCTTTTAGACTCAGTTCTGTGTGGAGGTGGGAGGTTGTGTCTTTGTCCTTGCTTACCATATTTTTACTGTGTCTGGTTTCAGCATAACTACCACAAAGCATTTTAGGGTTCAGCCTGCTTGTGGAAGGCAGAGGATGTCAGGCATAGTCCTCAAGGTGACCCATGTCCTTGCACTAAAACAGAGTTTGTTGGGAAAGAAAGTAGAGAAGGAATTGTTCCTCTGGACTTAGTAAGTTGAACTGTTGTCATTGTACACTGAGGCATCTCAGGTGGCCTTTTGTGCATTTCCAGAAGTGTTTGTCATTCCTGGAGCACAAAGCAGAGATGGCTGAGCTGGTCCCATATAGAGCCAGTTTGGATTGAATGTCTGCTTCCAGAGGGAGAGCTCTGCTGGTGTGAGAGAGCATGGAAGAAGAGTGTTCTGTTGCTGCCCAGAAAACTGTAATTTAAAAATACATGCCCATCAGGACAGAGAATGGCCATTGAAATCAAGGCCTCCTGCTAAACCTTTTTTGCTCTAGCAGTTTTTCTAGATACAAAAACCAGTCTGCTGGTTTTGTTGCACTGGAGAAAGGTCTTCTCCCCAGAAAATGTTGA